TTAGCACATGATGCTTTGAGGGGAGAGGTCCAGATATAAACCATAACACATGGGTATAATCATTTAGTGCACTTCAATTTTTTGAAAGTTTTATGAACAAATCATATTTAATGTTGGGAAAACAGCAGAATGTAAATATTTTAAAACTTTGATAACATAAAATGATAGCTGGACTGGTAGAGGTTGGGTAATGATAGGAAGGAGGAAATATGGAAGTCTACGCTGATAATACCTTCATTTTCACAGAGGGGCACTGAAATAAGATGAAAGTTAAAGCCATAAGAAAGATATTTGTGTATATTATTTAAATTCATAAAAATGCCTTGCAAGCACAAGGTCCTGAGTTCGATCCCTGGTACCAAAAAAAATAATAATAATAAACAGGGCTGGGGATGAGTTTGATGGTAGAAAGCTTGTAGAGCATATACAAGGCCCCACATTCAATTCTCAGGATGGAAATTTAAAAGTTTAAAAACACCCATAGAAAAGACTCCCACACTTAGAGAAATAAACAGAAAACATAAGACCATCATGTCAGGAAATATTGCTCACTGGGAAATAGTGCAGGGGCATTGTTAAAATGTGGAAAGAGGGGCTGGGGATTTAGCTCAGTGGCACTGTGCTTGCCTTGCAAGCACAAGGTTGTGTTTGATCCCCAGTACAAAAAAAAAAAAATGTGGAGAGAGCCAGGCGTGGTGGCACATGCCTATAATTCCAGGACTCAGGAGGCTGAGGCAGGAGGATTGCTGCAAGTTCAAGGACATCCCAGAGTTCAAGGACAGCCCAGGCTACAAAGTGAGTTCAAGACTAGCCTGAACTACATGGCAAGACCCTGTCTCAGGGAAAAAAAAATAAGGAAAGAAAAAAACATTGTCAATGTGGCAATTTTATACCCAGCAAAAATATCATCTCCCAGACTGGGGATTTGGCTCAATGGCACCACACATGCCTCACAAACACAAGGTCCTGAGTTCGATACCCCATACCAAAAAATATATATATATATATATATATATATATATATATATATATAAAATCTCCCAGTGAAGGCAGATTATTCCTCAGCACATAAAAGCTGAGAGAAATTACCAGAAGACTTTGTCATACTAAAAATAGTAAATGAAATTCCTGATACAGAAAATAGGATACCAGATAAAAAAACTGGATCTACACAAAAGTATAAAAAACACTATAAATTACAAATTATTTGTTACATAAAAATACTTTAAAATTTTAATAGCCTTAAAAGAAAATTGAAGTACTTAAAGCAAAAATGATAAGTATCATGGGTTTAATAAATATGGACATCAAAGGCATGAGAACAACCTCACCCAGAAATGGAAGTATTTCATGATTCTAATATTACCTTTTTTTTCCCCCCAGTACTGGGGATCAAACTCAGGACCTTGCACTTGCAAGGCAGGTGTAGCACCACTGAGCTAAAGCCTTGGCCCTTCATTGTTCTAATATATGTGAAATAGTCTATTGTGAAGGGTAGGCTATATAAAGATGTACACTCCAATACACTCCAAACTCTAACCCAAGCACTAACAATCTGTCATACACCGACAGCTCCCTTATAGCTAAGATAACAGAAATATAGATCTCTAGGGTCTGTTCTTCCCCAACTGAATTACCATCTGGGTACGGAACCCTAGGTTTCAGTACATTCATGAGAATGTAGGTGCCAGGGATTTAGCTCAGTGGCACCACACCTGCCTTACAAGCACAAGGTCCTGAGTTTGATCCCTGGTATTGAGAAAAAAAAAAAAGACTGTATCACTGTATTATGTACTTTGTCTTTTTGTTTTGTTTTGTCTTGAGACAGGGTCTTACTCTGTAGCGCAGATTGGTTTTGAACTTGCAGCGATCCTCCTGCCTCAGGGTCTCAAATGCTGGGATTACAGGCTGGTGCCACCACGCCCAGCTATTCTACATTTCATGAAGAACTAGAAGAGTGAGGGCCGGGGATTTAGCTCAGTGGTTTCACTGCCAGCCTCTAAAGTGCAAGGTCCTGAGTTCGATCGCCGGTACCAAAAAACCCCCCAAAAAACCCCAAAAAACAAAACTTTGAGGATATGATTTTCCCAATGAGAAATGTAATTGTGTTGTACACCTAAAATGTACCAATAAAAGAATTTAAGAAAAAAAAAAAGAACTAGAAGAGTGGACCGCAGAGACTCCAAACATAAGCAAATGAAAGGAGATGGACATGCTAATTACTCTGATTTGATCCACATACATTGTATACATGTGTTGAAATAGTCTGCATAATTATTATTAAACATTACAGTCCCCCATAAATATGTACAATGATTACATGTTTCAAAACCTCCCTGGGTGTTTCAACATGCGCCCAGGGATGCGACCCACAGGCATAAAGGTGTTTTAGTGTTGAATACACTGAGTTTTCATCTAAATTTTCTCCTGAGATCACACTGCAGGGACCTTAATAACATCTTCTAGTCTCGATTTTTTTTAAAATCCCAAATTTGGATCTGCTAGTTAATCCGTGCTTGGATCCTGTATTAAGTTTCATCCTTCCCACAAGGAAGAATAGAAAGACTGTGCTGTTATTGGGTTGCGTTTTCTTTTTTTTTTTGGTGCTGGGAATCAAATTCAGGGCCTCCTACATGCTAGGGAAATTCTCCACCAGTAAGCTGCCCCTTAACTCTTAAAATTTTATTTTGAGACAGTTCTTGCTAAACTGTCCAGGCTGGTCTTGAACATGAGCCCCTCCTGCATAGCTGGAATTACAGGTGTGCACTGCCACGCCCAGCTCCCTGGTTTTTGTTAGTTTCAAAATCAACTCTTATCTTTTCTCGTGGTGGTCTAGCCTGAATCAGCAATCTCACCTGTGCTAGTCATCTTTTGGGATTACAGATCACAGTTGGCACCTGGGGGCTGTGTCTTTGTCTTTGCTCTCCTCCTACCTCCTACAAACCTCTGTGAGCAGAGTACAAGCGGACCCCCGCAGCCTCCCCAGCCTGCAGGCCGGCTGCCCTTATCAAGTGCTCACCCTGCACATATCTCCCAAATCCTGCAGCACCCAGTAACAGCTCCGTCACTATTCATTCCTCCACTAAGGTACTCAGCACATATTTACTTCCTTTTGGGTAAAAAGGACCAATTTGAGCTGAGTGTGGTGGTGTACACTTATAATCCCAGCACTGTGGGAGGCGGAGGCAGGATTTAAAATTTGAGCCCAGTTTAGGCAACTTAGTGAGACTTTGTCTCAAAATAAAAAATAAAAAGGCTTAGGGTATAGTTATGAGAACCTGGGTTCAGTCCCCAGTGCTATGGAAGGGGGACAACCTGATTCCCTTTTCTGCATCCTGAACTCTTCTAGAGGCTTCCTTCCCCATCCATCCCTGGCTCCTGGCCCGATCTGAGTTAGAATCTCTTACCAGGTACTCCCACTGTGTCCCTGATGAGATCTGCTACCACTGTGTCACCCCTGTCAATGCACTGGCTGGACTCACCAGTGCTGACCCTGTTTAGCCAGGTCCAGGGTTGCCCGATCCCTGGTGGAGAGGGAGGGACTCCTGGCCAGGGTTCCAGGACACAGGACACCGCACCTGCCAGGCGAGACCAGCAGTGGCTAGTTACCAGGCCTGGGCGAGGACACCATGTACCACACAGGTGACAGCAGCTATACCTGGGAACCCAGGAAGAGTCGGGCCAGGGCCAGGGTTGGCTTCATCCTGTAGGTGGAGTGAGCTCGGTTCTGGCAGGAGGATGTGCTGGGCTGGCAGGAGGATGTGCTGGGCTGGCAGGCACAGATATCGATCTCAGTGATCAGCAGGGACTGCATCTTGGTCAGCAGGGCTGTTGGGCTGGGGACCTTAGGGCAGGTCTGATGGGAGGGGACTGGGCCCTAACCCTAGGCCTCAGGTCACAGGATCCCAGTGGGGCCAGGGTGTGCTGTCACTTTCCCCACCCACCAGGCTCTGGCCAGGCCTGGTTACTTGTTTCTCCCTGTGATCTCCTCTCCACCCAGCCGCTGTCCCTGGCTTCTCCATGCAGCAGGATCCCTTCCCCACCCCACAGATGTTACTGCAACTCCTGTCCAGAAGCTTACACATGGCTGGCGACTTTCTGGTCTGGATAGTGCCTCAGAGGCAGAGCGCTTGCCTCTCACACATCCCTGGGTTCAATCTTCACTCCACAGGGGAAATAAATTACCCTGGACTTTCTTTTCTTTTGGATTTTTGAGACAAGGTCTTGCCATGTTGTCCAGGCTGGTCTTGAACTCACTATGTAGCCCAGGCTGGCCTCAAAATTTCGGTGATCCTCCTGCCTCAGCCTCTGGAGTGCTGGGATCACAGGCATGTGCCATCATGCCTGGCTTAAATTTAATACGCAAAAAGCAGCTGCAAATAACCTGCTAGAAAATACAGTAGACAGGCGGGGGATTTAGCTCAGTGGTTCTGCCAATTGTCCCGCAAGCGCAAGGACCGGAGTTCGATCCCCAGTACCAAAAAAAGAAAATACAGTAGACAGTGTGAGGCCTCTCATTCCCTTCCTCCCCCTGATCACATAGGACATCAGCAGAGAGCCTTTGGCCAGGCTGGGGCTTTGGGGTTCTGGCACTAGAAGTGATGTTTGTGCTGCTGGCTGGCCAAGACCTGGTGTTTACACTCAAATACATACATTCACACTCACCTGTGTCCCCAAGGCTCAGAATTCAACCTTGGAGAGGAAGCATTGGCTTGCATGTCAGGCCTGGGACTTGACAGCACAAATCCATGTGGATGGTGGAAAGGACCTTGGTCTGTGTCCGCAGGATCCCAGACACCCACAATTTCAAAGAGGTGTGGTTTATTTCAGCTCATATTTCACAAGTTTCAGTCCTTGCGTGGTTGGCCTGCTCCAAAGAAGGACAGTAAGGTGGAGACGCCTGGCAGAGGAAAGCAGCTCATGGCAGGGTAGACAGGAAGCAGACTGAGGGGAGGGCCCGGGAGGGAGCCACGCCCTCAGCGACCTTCTCTTCCCACCAGGCCCCGCCTCCTATGAGCCACGTCTCCTAGCAGCATGTCAGCCAGAAGCCAGTCACCTCCACAAGTCCGGCCTGTGCGCACCCAGGACTCTTGTGGGCCTCTAGATGGAACCATCAGTCTGCAGTCCTACGCAGACTCCTGCTGGAGGGACAGGTAAGAGGAAGAAAGCGGCTGTGCTTGAGCCCCTGGAGGAGGTATGCGGGGTCTCGTGCATGACTCCTCCTTCACAGGGGAATCTGTGCATGTGGGGAAAGCGATGCCGGGTCCCTAGAACCTGTCTGCAACTAGAGTACATGGCCGGTCCAAAGCTCCCCTGTGACCTAGGGGGCAGGGTGGGCTGGGAGGGACCGCTCGCCTGCTTTACGGGTCACTTTGGGCACAATGACAATGTTGTGAAATTGGAAGACGAGGATGGTTTCACAGCTCCGTAAACACATGTAACCACTGAATTGTGCACTTCCAAAGAGGCAGATTTTATGGCAGGTAAATTACATTTCCAGAAAGCTGTTGGGATAAAGAATCATCCTCAGTTAATTGCTGTAAGTTGCTGGGGGGGTTTTTGTTTTGTTTTTTTGGTACCGGGGATTGAACTCGGGAACTTGAGCTTGCTTGGCAGGTGCCAGAACTGCTGAGCTAAATCCCTGGCCCAGTTGATGGTTTTTATAGCAAAGATAATAGGCAGAGACGCACCACCAGCTGACTTCAGGGCCATTTCAGGATTAGTAAGAAGCCCAATAAAGAGGCATCTAATTCCCAAATCTGAGTAAAACAAAATCATTGACTGTTCCTTTACCTCCGTTTAGCTTCTATAAAGGATGATGCACTTTGTTCAGTGGGGCTTTAATACTGCAGGGCCTCCAAATGTACAGCCTCTGGAGTAGTTAACAGTGTTTTTATCATAATCTGGACTGTTAAGACTGGTGCTACAGGGCCAGGGATTTAGCTCAGTGGTTCCGGCGCCTGCCTCGCAAGCGCAAGGTCCCGAGTTCGATCCCCGGTACCAAAAAAAAAAAACAAAAAAACTGGTGCTACAGGAGCCAGGCATGGTGGCCCACATCTGTAATACCTGAACTAAGGAGGCCGGGGCAGGAGGATTCCTGTGAGTTCAAGGCAAGCCTGGGCTACATAGTGAGACACTGTCTCAAAAGCAAAAAAGAAAAGAAAAAGACGGATACTACAGGAAGACCTGGGTTTTCCCGTGTATACACACCCCTGAGGTTAACCCAGGAGAACACGCTACATGCTGTCTCAGGATGCCCACACGGCTGGGGAGGGTCTGTCACACCTGTGTGGTCCCCATGACCTCCTGGCACCGTGGTTTCCCTGCCTGTCAACAGGATGGAGAGGCTGAGTCACATAGCTTCTGTCCCAGCTTGGTGCCATCCTGCCTCATGAGCATCTCTCCCAGCTGCAGGATGCTGCAGTCCTCCTAGAATCACACTGGAGCCCGGGGTGGACGCTCCCAGAGGATGGGTCATGTGTGGTCACCACTCACCCCCTCCAGGCCACAGTGCTATCCAGTGCCTCCTCAGCATCACAGACAGCACACTCAGCTCCCCCAGGTCACAGCTCCTGCCCTTACTGTCCCAATGTCCATGGTCAGGTGAGGAGGATACCTGGGTCTTCCTAGTGGCTCTGCCCTGCACATTTATCTCTTAGGTGCTGGAAGACACTCGGGAGGCTGCACCTGCAGTTCCCACCACACTCAGTCTTGCACCACATCTGGGCTGAGAATCTGCGCATTACCAAGGATCGTGGTGCAAATGCTGCTCACAGCCTGCTCCAGGAACCCCACAGCAGAGCCTCTCAGGTGTGTGGCTTTTCTGGTCCTGAGGCATCTCTTACAGTGACCACTCAGGAGGCCCTGGACAGCCATCTTGCCTGCACCCAGCTACAGATGACAGGAACACTTCGCTGAAGATATAAGAAGCCCTGTGGTGGCTGGACAGACTGTGCCCAGAGGTCAAGGTGCAAGGGTGGAGGATGCCATGTGTCCCCTGCACTTGGAGAGGACCTGGTGGCACATGGCAGCAGCAGCAGCAGCAGGCAGATTGTGCTGAGTAGATGGACAAGGGTGAAGTGGCCAAGTGCCAAAGAGAGGTTGTGAGAAGCTCCTGAGGAAGGCAAGTCTGAAGGTGACCACTTGAGATTTGGGCAAAGGAGAGGCTCTTCAGGGACAGCACAGGACAATTTGGAGGCAGGAGAGAGAAAAAAAACCAGGGGAAACCACCTTGCATGAGTTTTTGTGCTGATGAGGTGCGATGCATTCTTTCAATGCACCCAACTCAAGGGAGAGGAAGTGGTCAGCGCTTTTCACCTCCGTGGGCACCGTGGGCACGCATGTCACAGTCATCTGTTGGAGCTCAGGTTGTGACTCAGTAGGTCAAGGGGTGATAGCTAGGGGGCGGTGCTGCCACCAGTCCCTGACAATACTGGAATAGAGAGGATCCAGCGACATTCTTTATCAGCTGAAGCTTTGAAAAGAGAACTCCGCTTGACCCTAGGAGAGGAACTGCCTCCCAGTGGTGTGGAACAGAGGATTTTCTCCATACCTGGCAGGCCAATTATTTCAATCTGATAGTTATAGTAATAATAGTAATAATAATAGTATTAATAATGCTGATTCTCTAGGGATCTGTTGCTTGAGGAGAAGCCTTAGTTTCTCTTCTCATATAAATATATATGCTTCCTACAGCTGTGTGACAAGTTGCCACAAGCTTCATGGCTAACACAACACAAATTCATGATATTAAGTCGTGGAGGCTGGAAGTCTGAGCTGGGGCTCACTGAGCCAAACTCGGGCTGTGGCCTGAAGGCTGCTTCCTCTGGAGGCCCTGGGAGAGAATTGCTTCCTTCCCTCCTTTGTGTCCAGCAGCTGCCCCATTCCTTGGCATGGCCTGATCTCCATCCTGGAAGCCAACTGAGGAGGTGGGGGGATGGATAACCCCTTCTCATATATCACCCTGATCCGACTCCCATGCCTCTCTCTGTCAACTAGAATGCTAGGGATTACCAGGGGCCTCCAATGAGTGCACTCATCTCATCCCGAGGTTGGTGATTGCAACCCTAAGTGCCCTTGTCACCACATGTGACATGTAGGTTCACAGGCTCCAGGACAGTATGTGAACATCTTGGGAAGGGGGAATGTATATACACACATTTTTCCTTTCCGACACAAATTATAGCAAACCACACACTATTCTGCATCTTGTTCTTACTGCTCAACATATCTTGTAGATGGTGCCAAGTAAGTACATTAAGATTGAGCTATTTTTCCTCTTACACTGAACTGATCACTATTCCAGAGATGGTGGTGCACACTTGTAATCTCAGCACTCTGGGAGGCTGAGGCAGGAGAATTGCAAATGGCAGGATGATTGCAAATTCGAGCCCAACCTGGTCATTTTATTGACTTAGACTCTGTCTCAAAATAAAAAATAAAAGGGCTGACATATAACTCAGTGTGAAAGTCCTGGGTTTAAACCCAAGTACCTAAAAACAAAAATTAAAACAACCAACTCTCCATGATGAAGGTAATCATTATGTACTGCAAACATGTATTAAAAATATTTTTAAATGTTTTTACAAATCAAAATTCAAAAAGCCATTATTGGGCTGGGGATTTAGCTCAGTGGTTCTGGCGCCTGCCTTGAAAGCGCAAGATCTTGAGTTTGATCCCTGGTACCAAAAACAACAGCAAGAACAACAACAAAAACCCCCAAAACAAAGATTAACTTGGGCCAAGGATTTAGCTCAGTGGTTCTGCCACTTATCTTGCAAGCACAAGGACCCAAGTTCGATCCCTGGTACAAAAAAA